TTGTTATGAAACTCTATCATCTCAAAACAAGGAAGATTTAAAGGACTTATATTACCTTCTGGATATGTATACCGATATGACAGATTATTTTATAGAAAATAAGTAATGTTAGGAATTAACTATATAAGTAGGTTGTAAGAATTAATTGTATTATGTTTAAGATAAACAGTTCAAATAAAAAAAGCTATTATACTAACTGATGATATTGTATTAAATTGTGTTTTATATTTCGGTGAGCGGGAAAGGTGGTTTGTGTGGGGTGATTTAGGTGTTGTTGTGCGTGGCTCATAATAAAATTATAATTTTTTTATTGTATATACAATGTTATAGTCTTTAATAAAATAATTAACTAAATAATTTTTAAAAATTGTCCAAATATTTTATTCAACACCAAATGTATGTTCTGTCATACTTAATACTAAAATATGAAAAAGATGAAATTAAAGGACACAGGTTTAAATGAACATATTTTTGAATGTAATTGAGATATTGGCTTGAAATTTTTTGTAAAGGGTCGAGAATTTTCATATCTAACTAAAAAATGATATTAAGGGATAAATATGGACTATAAGAGATCTCGTCGAGCGCTTTCAGAAAATATAAAAATCTTTGTATTTGGGTGAAAAACAAAAAAATGGCACGAGTTTACAAATTTTACATGTCGTAGGTACCCTATTTTGAGCCACCACAGCGCCGTCCCTGGGGCATCTGCAGGGTTCATCTTCAAAACTTAAACTCGAATACTCCTTGGCTACACTCACGCCAAATTTTATCCCGATCGGATCAGACGTTTAGAAATGCCATATTTATTTCCAAAAAATTTCCATTCTGCCCCACTGTGGTGTGTAACACCAAAAAATATTCATCTGAGACCCAACAAAGTATATATATTCTGAGTCCTTATAAAATTCTGAGTTGATTTAGCTATGTCGGTCTGTCCGTCTGCCTGTCTGTGTAAAACACGCTCACTTTAAAACGAAGCAATGGAAAATATTCGTTAATTTCCAGCCAAAATATTCACTATTATCGGGTACAGTTAGGTATTGAAAATGAGCAAAATCGGTTCACATCGGGAAAAGTTATGAATCAAAATTTAAACAACTCCGAAAAAAGTAAGAAATTTTTACACATTCTGATGTAATTTTCTCGAAAACTATGCAAGATAATTTCATGAAATTTTTCATACATTCGTTTCTACACAAGATCTTGATTTATTTATTTATTCAAAATAGCAATACAAAGCCTTAAAGGCCAAAATATAAATATGTATTACTTAGTAATAAAAACCCTGAGTTTACAAAAGGACTTAAAACTAATAATTCAAAGTTACAATCCAAATCACATAATTGGCTCCCCAGCCATAAGTTCAAATTTCTAAATTAAAAAATATAGAAAATGTAGGTAGGTCCCAATCAGCAGTATCACGAATAAGCATACGGTAAGTAATAAAATCGATCATAAAGAATGATAATAAGGAGGTGAAATCTTAGTCTTACTTACGACTACAAGTGAATCAAACTGGCAAAATAAAGTTGAAGTATAAGACGAAAGACATTGTTCGTGTGAGAGAAAATACGCAGTTAATGAGGCAAACAATTCCAGAACCGAACAATCCTCACCACAAATGACCTTTCAAAATGGAGTCTAAGAATTCTAGGAATATGAACTTGCGGAAGATCGCAAGAATACAAACTTATAATATAAAGATAAAGGAAAACCATTTCTGACAACGTTATAAAAAAACTTAGATTACGATATTTTATAAAGTCACTAGAAGAAAGGCCAACAAATTGCTGCACATAAGAGGATATGATTCCTGCTGAAAATTGCATAATCGGTCCATAATTTCATATAACTCCCATACAAAAGTACATATTCCCGGAAAATGAGTTTTTTGTTAATAACTTCCGTCAGAATGTTGATATCTTCACAAAATTTTACAAATTAAAATCTTATGTCAATAGAATTCATTGAAAGAAAACATTTTCTGGATCGGTCCATAATTGGACGTAGCTCCCATATAATGTCCCCTCCCGAAAATCACTTAAACGCGCATAACTCATTCCTAAATTAAGATAATGCTCATATGCACAGAAATATTACTCTCAAAGTTTTTTCCCATCGGTCCATAATTGGCTCCCATTTGGTACAAGTATTGCTCATATGCACAGAAATAATACTGTGAAAATTTGTTTCCGATCGGTCCATAATTGGTCATAGCTCCCACACAAGCTATAAACTCGCATAACTCATTACTAAATTAAGAAATCCATATAAAATTTCGTACAAGTATTGCTCACATATACGGAAATATTACTATGAAAGTTTTTTCCGATCGGTCCATAATTGGTCATAGCTCCCACACAAGGTCCCCTCCCGAAAATCACTTAAACGCGCATAACTTATTGCTAAATTAAAATACATAATATTTTTGTACGCAGAAATGTTATTTCAAAATTTGTTCACGATCGGTTTATCTTTGGTCATAGCTCCCAAACAAGGTTCCCTTTCGAAAATCACTTAAACGCACATAACTCATTACAAAATATTAATATCCATTCACGATCGGTCCATAACATGGGTGCGGTCGGTCCCATGCAAGGTTCCCTTCAGAAAATCACTTGAATACACATTACTTATTACTAAATTACGATATAGATATAGATGACTGAAATATAGCTTTTATTTACAGAAATTTATCTTAAAGAATTTTTTACGATCGGTCTATAATTGGTCATATCTCCCATACTAGGTCCTGCCCCTAAAAGCAATTTAACCGTATTTAATTAGTTGCATTATCAATTTGTGTAGAACAAAATTATATATATGTACTTTGAAAATTCTTAAATCTTTCACATACATGCACATTATTAAATATCGTTAAAGCATATCTTAGGGCGCTATAAAAATATAAAAGAAAATAGGGTTTGTAATGTTCAATAAATCTTGGAATTGTAACAGATTTAAGCTGTTTAAATTTTGGGGTTTTTCTTTTTAAGACATGAGAAAACTTATTTCTACAAATATTTCATCATTTAAAAAGGTATTAATATAAAAGTAGCTGGTGGAGGGTATTTAAGATTCGGCTCAGCCGAATATAGCACTCTAACTTGTTTTAGTAATAGTCTTCTTTTCTGTAAAAGTTTCCAATGTTTTGTCAGTACCATAATAATAAATAATCGTTATTTGGTTTTCTTTTTACTGAATTTAATAAATTATGTTCTTGTTTTTTTTGTTAATTTTGGTTAATAAATGAATACAAATAAAAATTAATAATAATTATTAATAATATGTATATTAATAATAATTTTAGAATTTGGACCATTTCTGAAATATTTGAAAAAGTTTCCATTGTCGGAAAATTATATTATAGAAATTACCAACGGAATGACAAACTATATATACCATTCTCACGAAGGTGAAGGATATAAAAAATTGCTAATATACTGATGTAAATATTAAGTACGTTAGATAAATACAGCTAGTAGAATACCTGGGAGAAAATGGGGTTTAAAAAAAAAAAAACGTTTCGGTGAAATAATATGAGGTTTTTAATGTAATACCTTCAATTAATTAATTATATTAAATTTAAAAATAATTATATTAAATAATTCTATGTAAAAATTTGAAAAATCTAAACATTTTTCGTTATGTCATTGTCTCTCAAAGACTTTTCATATGATACTAAAATAGCATATGATAGAAAAAAAAACATAAAAACCATAAAAAAAGGACCTCACTAAATATTGACCTCAGGAAAAAAAATTTGAGAAATGGTTACTAAGAATGAACTAAATTTTAATTTTCAGTGGAAACATCAGCAACATTTATTTTGGAGACACAATAATGTACATATGTACGTATTTCCAGATTCGCTAAAGAAGTCCTGTTGTAGCGCTTAAATTTATTATGAATTTTATATCTACTTTATTATACCATATACCACTAAAGTGGGGAGAAGGTCCCAGGAAAAACTTTCCTTGATAAGTAATGAGTTAAAAAGCTAATAAAACCTCTTTTCACTACTTCTTCATTAGCATTTTAAGTCATTATTTTAACACGGTGATGTCATTGGAGGCAAGTACTTCTACGCACGCTTACAAATAGGGAGTTAAAGAAGTACTTGCAATTTCTCTTAAAACACAATTAAATAAAGTGTGTAAACAAAATGACAAAGCCGAAAATAAAGTACTTCTATATCAGATTATAAGAAAGTCATTACTAGAGTATTTCTATGTAATGCAGACGGTAAGTAGTAGTCATTGAAAAGTAAGTGGATATGGAAGCACAACCCAGTTTTTGCTGGGGTAATAGTCTTTGTGCTGATATTTGTAACACCCAATAATATTGGTTATACACCCACCATAAAGTATACCAATCAGCTCAGAATGAATCACTTTCTTAGTCTATTTAGTAAAGTCCGTCCATTTGTCTCTCTGTATATCCATGTAATCCTTGTGTCGCAATTTTCAAGATAATTTATGAATGCAGATTTAATGATCGAGCCTTATTTGACCCCAGCCCCCATACAAACTGCCCTTCAGAAAATGACTTGAAGGTCAAAATTCACTTATGAGCACTAATAAAACGATGAAATTCTGTGATTTTCTTGTGGAAAATCTCTTTTTTCAACAAATTGTAAAAATATTTTGGAATGATGGTAAAAACAAATGAAATATTTTTATTATTAAAAAATAATTCAAATTTTTAACATAATCACATGTGTAGGGTATCTTATGGTTGGACATGCCCGATATACATTCATACTTTTTTATAATTTAAAATTTGTTTACATTCACTAATTTAAATCATTTAAATTACACAATTTTGTACTAAAATAAAAATAATTACTATGTATAAATAAATAGTTCTTCATTTGAAATTGTGAACTGTCGCTCATAAGTAAGTGCTTATTTAGATAAAATTTCGATAATAAGTAGTTTAATTTGTAAAATGTGAGAGCAAGAATAAATATAATTTAGTTGGCACGATGTGGAGACCTTTTGGATACATTTATATAAACTTTCATTTACTGGCAGGGATTTCACATATGTATGTCTGACGTTCCATTTCTTATTGAGTTAAATGTTATATTTCACAGCATTTTAAATTCAACATTTCACAACAAGCATAAAATTATTTGTAATGCACACTCTCATTCCTATTCCAACCCCAAATTATGACACACTTTATATGATTCGACGCATAAAATTTCACGTGCCTTATGAATTACGAACGAATAAGTGTCGTCTCCAATTTGTAACAAAAAATTATTGTAATCAGCTGTTTGTTTACATTTGTTGGAAGGAAATAAAATGCAACAAAATAAACAGTAAATATATTATATAATTTGTGAAAATTGTTTTTTTTATTACAATTAATATACTTTTATTATTTTTAAGTTTTAGGTATTTTGTACGAAATTTCCAGGAGTGCGTGACTATTATGACACATAAAACATAACAGATTTTAAAAGTTGTTATATATTAACCTAGACGTCTCTGAAATTTAAAAATACCATAAAATTCCACAAAATCTCTTTAAGATGATGTTTAACAAATTTTAGACATTTTTATTTATTTATATATGTATCTATTCATTCGTGTTATTTACTAGTACAAAAGCCAGAACAAGTAAATATTTGATATGATATATTCGTAAAATATTTCATCAATATCAACGTAGCATCAATCCATCAATTCCTTTTTGTATTTATTTTCCTACAATTTTTATTGAAATATACATACTTTTTAGAATACTATAATAATAAGATAATATTTATTGAAGTAAATATTATTCCAATTACACAAAAATTCTTAGACATGTTAAAGCGGTGTTGCATTACAAATATGTATGTACATATTTCTAAAACCGTGTGGTCCATTATGTTTTCTATGAAAGGTTTTTTAAACGAATTCTTATTTCTATAATTTTTAAGAAATTCATTCATTCGGCAGCTAAAGTAAAAAATAAACATTTCATTAAAATTTTGTTCATAAAAAAAAAACTAAATGATAACATTTTCTCCGTAAAGGTATTTTTAAAATTCAGAGCAGATGCGGCACGTGTTTGCATTATACGATTTGACAAAATTTTAGTAGTAGTTTTATATAAATTGTCACGTTACGTCGAATCGCACTCCTCGAAATTCGAAATTGGTTTAACCACCCTATTGTACATGTATGTATGTATATTATATGTGTGTGTTCACGTCAATGCACTTGATTTGTTGAATTTATATTTTACATTACATCTATTATAAAAACTATTAAATTGTCGAAAAAGATTTTTAATTATATCGTTTCGATTTGTGTATAGGGTATATCGAAGAAAGTTTACCGCGCGTCTTTAAACATCATCACCGTATGATGGCCTTAAAACTTCTGTTGGCAATAGTTAAGTAACATTATCCATAAACAGGACAACAAACGTCTTAGAAAAGGCTGCGTCTTCTTCTCAAGAATTTATGCGCGAAATAAAAAAGGAACCACAGGAAAAACACCAAAAAATCAACTAAAAACGCAGAAAAAATTTTATATTGATAAATATAAAAAATATTATACACACAAATATTTACATTAACGTACAGCACTACTTTTATTGTTACTACTACCACTACTACAGCAACTACAATACACTTACTAAATATACTGCAACAACGCTTTACATTAACATAAGAAGTTGAAATGACGGTCGTCTAAACATTAAAAGGAGAAAATTATTTTCAAAATCCTAGCTAACATCACGACTTTTTTTGAAATGACTTTGTTTATGTGTGTGTACGTACAAATATATGTAAATCCCTGCAGTTCGACAAAGAGTCAATGCATCCGAAAAAGACTGTGATTTTTTTACTCTTTGTAAATGAGGGTGAAGATAATCGTCACTTTAGTGTCCCCTTTGTAAGCGAGAGATGAGGTATTTAAAAACATACTTAAGCTTTTTGTCTGTCTTTTCGTAATCTATGGGGTAATGATTGACTTTCTCGTAGAACAAGCTAGGGGTAACCCTAAGCGTAGGTTAAATATGTACTTCGGGACTGACCAAACGAACTGTTGGGATGTTCGTAAACATACATATACATGTACGCAAACATACATATATATGTATTTGTTAAATACATATGAGGGCATAAAAATATATGATTTTACATTTATTTCAAATTAGTTTCTACGCTCCCTGACGAATCAGCTGATTTGTGATTTTTTTTATGAAGATGAAACAACCAAATTATGTTCGTTAGGGTATTTGTATGGAAAAAATATGTTTTCAGTCACGGTATACTTAACAAGGTACTAGCACTTGAGTGCAACCGCACGATTGTCAATTTTTTTTTATATGGAGTTTGACGAACGTGCGGTTTAAGCCTGTATACAAGTCTATGATAAAAAATTGTAAACAATGATCAGCTGGGCTAGCGATGTCACCTTGTATTCAGTACACCATGTTTCCATTCTAAGATACCGGGCCAATGGATAAAAATTTCCGTTTAATGTGAAATAAAAATTGCAAATATCAAATAACGAATAAACCGAAGAAAAATAATTCCACCAAATTCACTGTAAATATTCATTGTTGTCCTAAGCAGTTTGGTATTGAAAATCAGGAAAATCGGTTCACGACATGAAAAGTTATGAGTTAAATTTTCAGACTACTTCGAAAAAAATTACGTTTTTTCGTCAGAAACTACCGAAGATAATTCGATGAATTTTGTCGTACGTTATTTTTTTGCTCAAGGATCAATTATGTTAAAAATATTAACAATTGATCCACAATTTCCAATAGCCCCCATACAAGCCACATATTCCGGGAATTGAATTTATTGAATATGTTTTGTGTCCATAATTGGTCATAGCTTCCATATAAGGTCCACTTAAGAAAATCACTTAAACTCTCATATTTCATTACCTAATAGAACTATCGGGGTAAAATTGGACATGAATATGTTTTGCATATATGTATATAAATCATTTAGCGAAACTTGTTTCCAATCAGTCCACAATTGTCACATAAATGCGCATATTTCATTGATAAATAAAGCTATCGCGATAAAATTCTGCTCGAATATGTTTTGTGTATGTATCAATCACTCTACCAATTTGTTTCCGGATAGTCCCGTAATTGGTCGTAGCTCCCATACGAGCTTCCGAAAATTAATTACATATTTCTATATATATATAGGAGCCATATATATATATGGCTCCTTTTATTATTAAAAAATAAAACAACTTACTAAACAACTTCTTTGTAAGAAAAATTGCAAGTACTTCTTTTATAAACGAGCGCCTCCAATGACATCATCGTGTTAACATAATGACTTAAAATATTTACTCTAATAGGCGGACTGCGGCCGGGCGCAAGAACTTTCTACTCTATGGTATGTCCAACAACGGCTTCGCTTAATAAACACTTTCTAAATAGCCGGCCTACGGCCGCAAGCAAGTATTTACCACTCTATAATATGACCAACACCGGCTTCGCTTAGTAAAGATTTCCTAAATAGCCGGCCTAAGGCCGAACACTTTTGATACAGGGGAGAGTTTATTCTTAGCGAAGCCGGTGTCCAATGTACCCCAGAGGACAAAACCCTTGCGTCCGACAGAAGGCCGTCTATCAGACATATATTTTTTATTTCGTCTGACAAAAGTAATATAATGAAATAACTCCCCAAAAATACTTTTAGGGATTTATTTCATTTTTGAATTTTGAGGAATTATTTCATGATGAAATAACTCCCCATTTTAAATGTGAAATAATGCCCCAAAAAACGAATTAAATCCCCAAATTACGTTGTGTTTGCTTTCTGAACAATTTTTTAGGGAGTTTTTTCGTTTCTGTTTTGGGGAGTTATTTCATGACGCCTGGATACTTGGGTCTGACTGAATAATGAATAATGAAATAACTCCCCATTTTAAATGGGAAATAATGCCCCAAAAAACGAATTAAATCCCCAAATTACGTTGTTTTTGCTTTCTGAACAACTTTTTAGGGAGTTTTTCGTTTTTGTTTTGGGGAGTTATTTCATGACGCCGGGATACTTGGGTCTGATTGAATAAAGACGGCGTCATGAAATAACTCCCCAAAACAAAAATGAACAAGTAAGAAATTATAGTCGGGCGAGGCCGACTATATAATACCCTACACCTTAGACAAAAATATAATGTGATTTATTTACCATAATAAAGCATTTAAATTGAATTGTACCTTGCCTCAGATATACATACTTAAGCCGTTTATTGTTGAATAAAATTGTGGACATTTAAGTGAAATTTTGATGGGGGGCTTTTCATCAAATCTTGTATAGAACTTGGTTTTTGCAGCTTTTTGTCGAGATATGAGTATATTAAACATAATTATGAACTTAAAAGCCCTATTCGACGGGTTCAGTTGTATGGGGGCTAGGTGAAATAATATACCGATGTAAACCATTTTCAACAGGCTTCGTTTACGGTACGATAAAAGATCATGTGCCAAATTTCATTGAATTATCTCCAAAATTGCGACCTGTAGTTTGATTACAAAGTTTAAAAGCCCTATTCGGGGGGTTCAGTCGTATGGGGCTAGGTGAAATAATTGACCGATGTCAACCATTTTCAATAAACTTTGTCTATGGTACCATAAAATATCATGTGCCAAATTTCATTGAATTATCTCCAAAATTGCGACCTGTAGTTTGATTACAAAGTTTAAAATGATTCTGAGCCGATTGGTATACTTTAAGGTGGGTATAGGACCAATATTATTGTGCGTTACAAACATCAGCACAAACCCAATATACCCTCCCCACTGAAGTGGTGTAGGGTATAATAATGAAATTTGGGGACTTATTTCATTATGAAATAATTCCCCAATTTAAAAATGAAAAAAAAGCCCCAACGAAATGAAATAATTTTCCTAAAATAAAATGAAATAACACCCCATTTTTGGGAATTTATTTCACATGAACCAAATCCCTAATTTTAAAATGAAATACGTTCCCATTTAAAAATAACAAAGTATGGAACAAGTCGGTTTTAGTGACATTTCTAAAAAAGTAGGTCGCTCATACTTTCGAGTGGGGCTTCAAAGTTTAATACACTTCCTTTTCATTTTTGAATTTTGAGGAATTATTTCATTATGAAATAACTCCCCATTTTAAATGTGAAATAATGCCCCAAAAAACTAATTGAAGCCCCAAATTTTGAAAATATGGACTGATGTTAACCATTTTCAATAGACTTTGTCTACAGTACCATAAAAGATTATGTGCCAAATTTCATTGAATTATGTCCAAAATTGCGACCTGAAGTTTGATTAAAAAGTTTAAAAGCCCTATTCCGGGGTTTATTTGTATGGGGGATAGGTGAAATAATGGACCGATGTTAACCATTTTCAATAGGCTTCGTCTACGGTACCATAAAATATCATGTGCCAAATTTCATTGAATTATCTCCAAAATTGCGACCTGTAGTTTGATTACAAAGTTTAAAAGCCCTATTCGGGGGGTTCAGTCGTGTGGAGGCTAAGTGAAATAATGGACTGATGTTAACCATTTTCAATAGACTTTGTCTACAGTACCATAAAAGATCATGTGCCAAATTTCATTGAATTATCTCCAAAATTGCGACCTGAAGTTTGATTAAAATGTTTAAAAGCCCTATTCCGGGGTTCATTTGTATGGGGGATAGGTGAAATAATGGACCGATGTTAACCATTTTCAATAGGCTTCGTCTACGGTACCATAAAAGATCATGTGCCAAATTTCATGGAATTATCTCCAAAATTGCGCCTTGTAGTTTGATTACAAGGTTTACAAGCCCTATTGGGGGGTTCAGTTGTATGGGGGCTAGGTGAAATAATGGAACGATCTTAACCATTTTCAATAGGCTTCGTCCCTGGGACCATAAAAGATCATTTACCAAATTTCATTGAATTATCTTCAAAATTGCGACCTGTAGTTTGATTACAAAGTTTACATGGACGGACGGACAGACGGATGGACAGACGACGGACATAGCTAAATCGGCTCAGAAAATGATTCTGAGCCGATTGGTATACTTTAAGGTGGGTATAGGACCAATATTATTGTGCGTTACAAACATCAGCACAAACCCAATATACCCTCCCCACTGAAGTGGTGTAGGGTATAATAATGAAATTTGGGGACTTATTTCATTTTGAAATAATTCCCCAATTTAAAAATGAAAAAAAGCCCCAACGAAATGAAATAACTTTCCTAAAATAAAATGAAATAACACCCCATTTTTGGGAATTTATTTCATATGAACCAAATCCCTAATTTTAAAATGAAATACGTTCCCATTTAAAAATAACAAATTATGGAACAAGTCGGTTTTAGTGACATTTCTAAAAAAGTAGGTCGCTCATACTTTCGAGTGGGGCTTCAAAGTTTAATACACTTCCTTTTCATTTTTGAATTTTGAGGAATTATTTCATTATGAAATAACTCCCCATTTTAAATGTGAAATAATGCCCCAAAAAACTAATTGAATCCCCAAATTTTGTTTTGGGAGTTATTTCATTTTTGTTTTGGGGAGTTATTTCATGACGCCAATGATGACATATGTATGTATATGAGGGAACGTTTTGGTTCTTTAACTGGCACCTTTATTATGCAATTAAACACCTATCATTTTTATTGAATTAGAAGCTTAAAAACAGAATATTCTGGTCCTTTTTTCG